AGTTAGGGCTGCCACACAGAGAAACTCTGTCTCTAAAAACAAAACAAAAGTTAGGAAGATAAAGATTAGAGATATTTCCACTTCTCAATACAAGGGGATAAATAATAAGGTAGAAGAATGCTGGGGAAAACAGACTTTGCTGTCGGCTTCACCACGCACTGCACTGAAAAGGAGGGGTACTTCAAGCTCTTCGTCTCAATGTTCTCAGCAGAAAGGGTGAGTCACAAACATTTTGTACCCAGGGGGTGGGGGTGGGGGACACTTAGCAGGAGTTTACAGCTTCCCTGCTCCATCAGAAGAACTATTCTTCCTTTGAATTTTTTCTGATACATTTTGTAATTGGCAATGTTAAAAAATAATGTTACCCAAGCAAAGGAATGCCAATCAGTAAAAACACTTCTGGAAAAAAAAAAATGTACTCATGATGTGGCCACAGGGAGAGCTGGGAGAAGTGTCATCTTCCTCCTCGAGGGTAGGATTTAAGGCTATTTTAAGGCATGGAGAAATTTCAATTAATACCCATGGCCTGCAGAGCAGATGGTATCTCTAGGTCGCAAATGGGTTCACGGTCATCTCGAAGAGGGCAGTGTAGCTTCCCTTCTGGCGCCACCAAGGAATTAAGGTAGTGAACACGCAACACTTGGAGCTAGTTATGTTTAGGGATGCTGAAAATGTGTGTCAAGATGCCAGGGGTCCCGCTGGGTTTAGTAACCATGGAAACAGCTCCCGTTTGCCAAAGAGATCATCACACAGACTGACCGCTCTGACTAGGAAGGATAGAAACATTATAAAACCTGTAATTGAACAATGTGATGATTGAATTCTGTAATATGCAAACTATAACTCACTGGGGCTACTGGAAATGTGGCAACAATTATACAACAGGGTGGTTTCAATGGGCTTCTGTGATTTTTTTCTTTTTCTTTCTTTTTTTCTTTCCTTCTTCTTCTTCTTGTTAATCTTTGAGACAATTTCTAGTTCTCTGAGGGTGGCTCAGTATTTAAAGAAGCTGCAGCCCAAGCCTCCGCAACCTCTATGGGACCCCCAGAGCCCACATAAAGATGGCAGTGGAGAGCCGACTCCGCTGTTGTTCTCCGAGCTCCTCACAGGCTCCAGGGAACTCGGTGACCACACTAAGAGAATAAAGAAAATACATTTTGAAATTTAACTTAAAATACAAATAAAAAGATTTTTTTAAAGGGGATGGTGAGAAGTCCCATTGAGTCAAGAGCTCACTGCACAAGCCTGCCAACCTGAGATCAATCAGCAGACCCCACATTAGAGAGAACGAACCCCACAGAGTTATCTTCCAACCACCACAGCTGTGCCAAGGCATGCCCCCCCCCACACACACACAAGCGAAATCCAGAAGCACAACAGGAATGACACACAGGAATGGATTCTGCATGGATTATTGTGGAATGGCACACAGTGGGAGGAAGCTGACCCGGCACCCCAAGTCTATTCCAGACTGTATGGAAGGGCAAGGTTTGTTATTCTGGTCTTGTTCATTTGGTCACATGACTTCTTTCAGTTGGAATTTTACCTTAAATAAAGGGTTCAGATTTGTTTTTTCTTTTAAAGTGTGCATTGGTGTTTGACCTGTGTGTATGTCCGTGTGACGGTGTCGGGTCCCCTGGAGTTCCAGCTCTGAGCTGCCACGTGGGTGCTAGGAATTGAACCCAGGTTCTCTGGAAGAACAACCAGTGCTCTTAACCATTGAGCCATCTCTCATTTGAAAGAAGGTGGTGTGGGTGAGAGGAAAGTCAACAAAAGGACAATGTAATGTGAGAAAGGTATGTTTCTGTATTTTAGTAAATATTCCATTTTAATTCAATGTCAAAAAATAACAAGATCTCATTATATAACCCAAGCTAACTTTGAACTTGCAACCCTCCTTTTTCAGCCTTCAGAGTGTTACAAGTACGGCATGTGCTACCATACTGCTCTGGGAATGGATCGTTTTTAACAACTAAATTGGCCTCCAAATGATAAACCAGGACCATTCTGGGCCCATAAAAACATCTTGCCACTTTCTGAGAAGGTCCTATTCTCCTAAGGCCAGCCTAAAAGTGACCCATTTCTTCTTCGGTGTGGAGAAACCCATCTCCAAATAAGTAAATGCCAATAGCTCAGACATTTTATCGTTTTATCACCGCTTCTCAATTTTCAAGGGTCCATCTTGGCAACATTGAGGTAGGTCATGGAAAAGTCACATGGGGAGCTGGAGAGATGACTCAAGAGTTAAGAGCACTGGCTGCTCTTCCAGAGGCGCTGACTTGGCGGCTCACAACCATCATCTATAGTGGGATCTGATGCCCTCATCCGGCATCGAGTTGTTCATGCATATATATATATATATATATATATATATATATATATATATATATATAATAAATCCTTTATTTATAGCTAGTATTCACTTATGAGTGAGTAGATACCATATTCATCTTTTGGGGTCTGGGTTACCTCACTCACGATAGTGTTTTCTAATTCCATGTACCTGAGCTAATGGGAGCTGACCAACTCCAGCAGGACTGGGAAGGAACAAGCATAGGACCAAACTAGTTCCTCTGATTGTGGGTGACAGTTGCATGGCTGGGGCAGACTGAGGGTCCACTGCAGTGGCATCAGGATTTATCTCTACTGCATGTACTGGCTTTTTGGGAACCTCTTCTCTTTGGATGGATACCTTGATCAGTCTAGACATAGGGGGAGGACCTTGGACCTTCCCCAAAGCAATGTGCCTTAGCCTCTCTGAAAATTGGATAGAGGTGGGGTGGGAGGATATGTGGAGGGAATGGAAGGAGGGGAGGGAGTAGGAACTTGGATTGGTATGTGTAACGAAAAAAAAAAAGATAGTTTTCTTTTAAAAAAAATAAAGAAAAAATAAATCTTTAAAGAAAAAAAGTTATATGGGACCCAGCTGAGAAAATCTGGGGGTGGCAGTTAGATTGTGCTAGACTTGAGCATGAGGTAGAAGCAGACAAGGTTTTTCTGAAGGCCCATTGTTAAACCAGAAAAGCCAGGCATGCTGTCTACCGACTCCCTACTTTCTAGTTCTAGGTCTTTCTCCCTGCTCCTTCTGCCTGTGGCTACTCAGCAAACTAAAGGCAAGAAAATCTGATCTTCACTTTATCTCCACCCCAAATAACTATTTTCTTGAAAAACTAAAACTAAACAAACTGTGTAGTGACACAGGGCTTTAGTCCCAGTACTTGGGAGACAGAGGCAGGCAGATCGCTCTGAGTTTCAAGGCCAGCCTGGTCTACAGTGAGTTCCAGGGCAGGCAGAACTGCAACATAGTGAGACCATGTTTCAACCGCAACAAAACAAACAAAAACTGAGGCATTGTTCACATTAATCAAATTAGCACTTTCTGAATATATAATCAAAGGTAAGCTGGTACATTTAATTGCTCAGAAAACCCCAAAATAAAATTTTAGAATATTCTCATTACCAAAAGAATGTGCCGATTTATAGCTCAGAGGACCCTTTCTATCATTGGTCCTTTCCGTCCCAGTTCCATCTCCTAGATATGTGGGAAATGCTGCAGTCCAGCACCACAGCCAGCCTTCTCGGTGGATGTACTGTTACGCACCTCGCTGGTTTGGTTTTGGTTCTTTTATTTAAGCTTTATTGATTTTTACTTTACATGTTTGAGTGTTTGCCTGCATGTATGTCTGCGGCATCCAGGGTTTTTGTTGTGCCCTCCTTTTCCCTCCCTGGGAAAAACTGCACAATTAGTACTAGGACCCGGAGGCGTGACTCAGTCACAGCTGGCCGTTCTGTTCTGACCACTAGAGCTAGAAGCCTAAGAGCAGCCACACTCAGTGGGACGGTTCTCTCTGCTCCCACCTTTAGGCCTTGGGCTTTCTAGACCACACTTTCTCCATAAACCTGTTAGGGAGATCAGTCCCTGGATAAACTGTACCATCTGCGGGTTATTCCTGTTTGAGCAATGCCAGCTCCTCTGATCCCCCCCACTGTCCACTGCCTGGGAAATTCCGCTCACCTGAGCTTTACTTCCCCCAACCTTTTTGTCACTGTGTATTTTGTGCATGATATATATGCACAGCCATGTGTGTCACCGCGCCTGTGGAGGACAGAGGGCAGCTCTGGGGAGTGGATCTCAAGTCGCCAGAGTTTGCAAAGCAACTGGTTTTACTAGTTGTGGCACCTTGCTGGCTTTTCCACTTTAAAATGGTACTTTCTCTCAGAATCCCTTAATAGTCTTCAACATAAAAATTCTGAAAAGCTTCATTTCCCACTTGGCTTCATCACCATCACTTGCTGAGGTCTGATGGAGACTAGTTCAGAGCTCCAAAAGGTACCTCTAGAAAATTCACAATAAACTTAGGTCATCCATAACTGGATTTAAAAACACTGTTCCAACTTCTTCACTATCCAGCTGTGCCTGCTATCATGGAACTGATATGCTAGTGAGGGTTGAGGAGAATGTTCCTGTCTGCAGAGGAAAGACAAGATGGGAGAGAACACTGGTTAAATTGTGGTCTCCCAGCAGCAGCAGCAACAACACCCGATGGGAAGTTGGTAGGAGATAACTCTTGGGCCCTGTCTAGACCAACGTCAAGCTATTGGATCCTGATGCATGTGAAAATTCAAAGGACCTGGATTCCTGTAGTGTCTACTCAACCACAGACCAGGCTGTACTTAGAAAAAACTGATTGAAAAATACCTCTTCTAATGATCCTCCCCTCCCATGGCTGCCCTCACCCCAGGGGAGCACCCCTACTTACGTGTATGTTTCGACTCATTTATCATTTATGGGAATGTGTTATCACCTCATGAAGCTGGTATTTAGTATTAGACTTGCTAATGAGCTGTATCAACACGCTCCTGCTGCCCGTCATTCCGTGCAGTTACAGGTATACTGTGTGCAGCACAAAAGCTCAGCAGCCAGCCTTCCATTGTCAACGAACACGCAAGGGGAGGGTCCAGAAGTGTCGTCAGTGTGGACGACAGAGGGTATTTTTTTATTCTCATGCAAAAGGGCTAAGAGAAAGACCAACCTAAACCAGAAGCTAACATCTGCAGGGAGGAGCTCCATGGAAAAGGCAATGCTGGCCGCTGTCTTTGCCGATTCCAATTCCAGCATCATGAATGTGTCGTTTGCCTACCTCCACTTTGCAGGAGGGTACCTGCCATCTGACTCCAAGGACTGGAGGACCGTCATTCCGGCTCTCTTGGTGGCTGTGTGTCTGGTGGGCTTCGTGGGGAATCTATGTGTGATTGGCATCCTCCTTCATGGTGTTTGGAAAAGCAAGCCGTCCATGATCCACTCCCTGATTCTGAATCTCAGCCTGGCTGACATCTCTCTCCTGCTCTTCTCTGCACCTGTCCGAGCTACAGCATACTCCAAAGGTGTCTGGGATCTCGGCTGGTTTGTCTGCAAGTCCTCTGACTGGTTCATCCACACATGCATGGCAGCCAAGAGTTTGACAACTGCTGTAGTTGCCAAAGTATGCTTCATGTATGCAAGAGACCCAGGCAAGCAAGTGAGTATCCACAACTGCACCATCTGCTCAGTGCTGGTGGCCATCTGGGTTGTAGCCAGCCTGCTTCCCCTGCCAGAATGGTTCTTTAGCACCACCAGACTTCACGGAGGTGTGGAAATGTGCCTCCTGGATGTGCCAGCTGTGGCCAAAGAATTCATGTCAATGTTCAGTAAGCTCTACCCTCTCCTGGTGTTTTGCCTTCCTTTACTTCTAGCCAGCTTCTATTTCTGGCGAGCTTATGACCAATGCAAAAAGCGAGGTACGAAAACGCAAAGCCTTAGAAACCAGATGCGCTCAAAGCAACTCACAGTGATGCTGCTAAGCACTGCAGCCACCTCTGCTCTTCTGTGGCTTCCCGAATGGGTAGCCTGGCTGTGGGTATGGCATCTGAAGGCTGGAGGTCCGCTGCCACCACAGGGTTTTATAGCCCTGTCTCAAGTCCTCATGTTTTCCACCTCTACAGCAAACCCTCTCATCTTTCTAGTGATGTCTGAAGAGGTCAAGGCAGGCTTGAAAGGCCTATGGAAATGGATGATAACCAGAACGCCTGCAGCTGCCTCAGAGGTTCAGGGGGCACCAGCGGGAAACACAGAGGCCCTCCCTGACAAGACTCCGTCTCCAGAGCCCCAAACATCCACTCAAGAGACAGACAGACCTGACTTTCCCAACTCCAGCAAAGAGAAAACTGACAAGGCAGTGGCTCCCATCCTCCCTGATGTTGAGCAGTTTTGGCATGAGAGGGATGCGGTCCCTTCAGTGCAGGACAATGACCCTGTACCCTGGGAACATGAAGGCCAAGAGACAGAAGGCTGCAATTAATGGACTTGATTTTCAAAGAAAAACAAATTGTCATTATTGTATTTACTTGGGCTGTTGCTTAGCCTTATCCTGACTCTAAGTTACCATTAGAAATTGCAAAGGTTTCTATCTGCATTTTCAAACCATTCAACCGGTAAGTAGACTGGCATGCAGTGCTTAGGCTTCAGAGTTCCCTGTCTAAAGAACTCGTTACAAGTGTTATGTAAAGTGATTATTGGGTTCACAGTAACATATGCCCAGGGAACCCCCTAAACACAGCCAGGTACTGCACTGGCTGAAGTAGTTTATCAGACTGAGCCCATGTTCTCTCTATCTTCCCGAAACTGCTGGCCTCAAGTCAGTCAGCAAGTTATATTTCACCTAAGCATAGCTCAAAATCTGTGTCTCCTCTGGCTTTTTTAAAAGTGTAAATTTTACTTGTAGTTCTCTTCATTAGCTTTTAGCACATGCTAATATCAAGTCCATGTAATTTTCCTGAACAAAATTTACAAAATAATGAATAGATCTTCTATTCTGGGCTAACTTCAAACCATGGCTTTTGGGGCCCAAGTTTAAGTAAATTCAAGTTTTGCCTTACAGTATAAAAGCTGTTTCAATCTTGAAAAATATACCTGAATGAGTTTTGGATTAAAATTCTGAGAATATTAGTAGCCTAACATGACATTCTATATGTATCACAATGCAGAGAATTTTCAAACTATAATGTCTCTTCTCTTCTAAGAGTATTCTCCTTGATCTCTGTTCTTTAAGGTAGACTGTAAGCTGAAGCTAATGATACAGGTATTAGCTACTGGTTAAAGACAAGCATAAAGGACAATGAGGGGGGACTTTCCCTGTGTCATCAAACTTGAATACCCTCAACTTTTAAAATATTGCAGGGCTTCTAAGATATATAATCAAGTGAAACAAAATGGAATAATACACATTCAAAAAGATAGAGAACGCAGCAAATAATAACACGAAATTTAGGAAACACGAGAATGGTCCCAAGGACTATGCAAAGCAAAGATCAATATAAGCACTCGGAGCTCCTAGATGTGGAAAATTTGAGTAGAGCAGCAAGCCAATAAAGCATGATCGTGCATCCCCTTTAAAGATAAAAAGACACTTAGGATTCTTAGCTGCTCCATTAAGGGAATTTTGGGATTTTTCCACTGTTGGGTACTTCTGAGAATAAGAATGCCTCTAAAACAAGCAAGGGAGGAGTTTGGGGAATATTCTGTACAGTACCAAGAACTGTCATTTGCAATATTCAGTCTTGAAATGATTTTACTACAAAAGGCTGTAGTATTCACCAGAGACAAAGCTGCCTTCCTTTTCACTTGTTTCAGGATAAACTGGATTTGAAGCTGTCATTTTAAAATAAATAATAGTATAGCCCAAGATTCCAAAATAACTGCTTTGTGAATCCAGATACATGAAGAGCTGCCACTGGAACTGAAAAGAAGCTTTTGTTTTATAGACATAATATGTAGAGTGTAAGCTTCAAGTATATGACATCTTGACTTGTAAAGAAATAAAAGCGATGCTTTACTTCTGACAGGTGTTACAGACTTAATGCTGTCTTGTGTCTTGAATTAGCATTTCAAACCATCACTGAGAACAAGAGGGCTTTATGAGGTAGCCTGAGGGTGACAAAGTCCCAGGTTTCTAGATAAGCTGCAGTAACACCTTAAGCTACACATAAAACAACATATAATTATAATGAATTGTTCATTAAGAACATCAGAGTCTGATCTGATCTCTTTAAAAATCTGCAAGGGAAGAACTGCCTCGCTCCTTCTAAGAAAAGTCCGCACAAAGACTGTGCCCAAACTAGGAAGCAGGAGCTCTATCTCATGGAGCTGTTTCTTTACTCTTTTCTAGGATGACAGATGTGGTGGATGTGCAGACACTACCACACGGAACTCAGAATGAAGGCCTCAGGGAAGGAAGGCACACTTCGGTAATAGTTTTTCTTTTGGCAAGCATTCAGTCAGTCTCACTCCTTACAAAACAAAAACACTAAATTTATAAACGTGAATTTCAAAAGGGGTGGTGTATAAATTCTACTTGTCTATCACTTTCACAGCTTTAGAGCTCAGTCTGCTCATCAATACCAGGCTTCATAGTTTCTATGACACCCCACACTAAAGAGTATGGACAGGAATGGCATACATAACACAAATAGGCCAGCTGGTATTCCTTCCTTTCTCAGGCTTTGTTGCCATCCTGGAAGGTGGGAGACTAGAGGTAAGGTAATTAACCTATCTTCTCACACATCTTATTTATGTGGCACCCTGGTACTAGCAACCTATGAGACCAACATAGGATTTACAAAGAGAGAACAAGATAACGAGAGAGACAGAGAGAGAAAAGGGAAAGCTAGGAGAATTTAACTGAACATCAAAGGAAAGTTCATGGTATATACATGACAAGTTGAAAGGAAGCCCAAAAGGCACAAACCTTTGATATGTTAAGAAGATAGAAACAAGAAAACAAAAATAACAATATTCTTGCCTCTAAGCCCCAGGTAGCATTAAAAGACTGAACACACAGGCACACAAAGGGAAAAGGAAGAATAGGCTTTCTACAAAATTTCTTGTCTTTTATATTGGAAATACAATATCATAGTCAAGCCTTTAAAAACTACATACTATCCAAGAGTCAGTTGTCTCAAATCTCACTTGCTTTCTTTAAAAATAAAAAAAAAACAGATTTAAGAGTTTTTATAAAATATATTGTGTAACAATAATCATTTACAATCCACATATATAAAAGGGTTGGTTTATTGTAGTTCAAATACATAAACTGAACATTCAAACATCTTAAAATTAAACTTTAGAAACAAAAGTTCAACATTCAAACAGGAGTAGTTTACAGGGAACACCCAGAAAGGTAATTTTGTATCTAATTCAGAATTTCGGTAAAGATCATTCACTGGAGAATAAAGTATGTTTAACCAGGATTCTATTCTGGTCAACATGTTAGTTAAGAATGTGTTCATACCTGAGAAGAAATTACTAAATAAATCTTCTCCTGGGCTAAACAAGACTTGGCCTCTAACTCAGAGGGGAGAATCAAAGCACAGAAGTAAACAAATACAACTAAACTGTTCTTTAGAGACAAAGGTCAAAGTGTGTCCATTAGAATAGTCATAGTCTCCGCAAGAATTCAATTCAGTGTTTTCTCTTTTACCCGCTTAAAAAAACCAAAATCAAAACAAACCCCTTAGTTTTCTTGGAGTTTGTGATATCTGCAAGCTCCAACCACAAAGGCTCCTGTCTTGCTGAGTAACACTGCTGGTGAGAACACCACCAAGTCACTGACTTCCACACCTCAGAAAAGGATGATTTTTAGCTTCAAGATTTGAAGTTTACTAGACAGCCTATAGATATACTATGACAGTATGTACGTCAGTCATGCCGCACGAAGAAAAGCATTAACTATGTTCAAAGTGTTCTCTTCAGAGACTGTTCACAATTGCTTCTTCTGCTCATCAGGTGGTTTCGCAATAGGTTGACTAATGCACATGTATGTAAAAACCTGAACATTTGGCTCATGCAAGCGTTTTCAATAACAGAGAGCCCGGGGAAGGGTATTTAGAATTATTTTGTTGATCGTCTAGTGGGCTCTGATGCTGTGGGAGGTGGAGGTGGACCCCGGCGATCCAGGTCATCAACGTAGGCCACAATCAGTTTCCTCCTCTCCTCTGGTACACAGTCCAGTACTAGATACCGTTTGTCATTCTGCAAAATCTTTTCTACGTCTTTCAGGTGCTGGTCAGATTCTTGGATTAGCTTTTTGGATCTGAAATAAGAAAAAAAGTACAAGAATTACTGACTGCTGTTCACTGGTCTTTCAGAAATGAGCCGGAAATGTCCATCTAGTTCCTAATTGTGTTTCCACTTTTTTTTAAAGAAAAATTTCACTGCAGCAGTCACCTTTGTAAATCACCTCGGCAGAGACTCCAAGGAGTGAAAGGGCCTCAGAAGCTGAATTACCCTCCCACCCCTACTGGTGGTCCCTCCAGATCAGGGCTGAGGGTGGGTAGGTAAATCTTGCCCGTGCTGTACCTGTTCTGTGGATGAACAGAGGACTTCAGTCTGCGGGGCTGCCAATCCCAGCATCTTTCACAAGCTTTCACTTTCACATCTTTCACTAAATTAACTATAAAAATGTAGAAAGAAGTCTTACTTCACATCTAATTTAAAAGCCCAAGCTGATGCAAAACATTAAGGATCCTGACCAAAAAATCCAAACGACAAAACACCTGAGAACCACACCTCAGCACTATCTATCCTCCCGTGCACACCCTTCATCAAGGTTGTCTTTAAAGGAAGAAATGCTGGAGCAAGAAGCATAACTAGTTCCTTGAACATGACTGAAGGCAATGCCAAACTGATTTCCTGATGAAAGGTTACTAGTGGTGATGGATTACTGGGTGTGCTACACCAAAACCTTCTTTTAAGGGCTCTGATTTTTTTAAAAAAAATAAATGTATCCAGCAAACTGATTTCCCAAGAGGGAAAAAATGACTTTTCTGCCTTAACAAGATGATTTCAGGCACTGACAGTCTAACCACACTCAGCAGTTCTCAGAGGAGGCAAAGATAATTCATAGTGAAGGATTCATTTCAAGTCTCTTCGTGAATTCCAATTCTTAAAGAGTTGAGGGTCCTCAAAAAAGTAAAAAGAAGCAGTGAAGTAAAAATAAAAGTGTATTTAAAAACTGGATGTAGATAACACAAAATAAGAATTGACATCTGGGCCCTTTCTTTAAAAAAACAAAACAAAATCAAAAAGGTACTGTGGTACAGCCTGTATCTGCCTTTGCGGAGAGCTGGCATCTTCTGACCCCTACAACTCACAATGTCAACATGTGTGTGAATGAACAGTATGCTCTGCCATCAGAGTACAGGCTAGGAGACACCGCTGCCAGTGGAACACCTGACTGCACGCACCTGTACGTGATGAATTTGGTCTCTTTCAAGAGTGTCCGGAAGTCAGCTTTGGCAGTGATGTATTTGTCTCTGATGTATTCTTCAAATTCCCTTTGTTTTTTCTGCAGGGATAGGGGAAAAAAAATAAGATTAACGAGAAAACCCATAAACTTTAAAATAACTTCTTTATTAAAGCCGTAATCTGTGAGTCCTGTAATAAAATTCAGAATAGAAAAAGACAGAGAAATGATTTTTTTTCTATAGAACTTACTGTAGTATATAACCTACACATTCTTAAGGAGAAAGAAAGAAAACCACAAGGGTGTGGAGGTACATTCAGCTAAAGTGAAAGCTGTCTTCATAATGTCCTCAGGAAGTAAGCACAAGAGAAACAAGGCACTAAGAATCAAGCACTCATTTCCTATAGAGTGTCTATCTTCCAGCACAAAGAATAATGCCATATAATGTATGAATATACAGAGCAAGAGAATACTCAGAACATAAGTACATATTGTGCATTTGGCTTTCTCGTGAGGAATTGTAAGCAAGTTCTATATTATCTGTATAGACCTTGCTATCACTTCCTTATGAGCAGTGAGGTAAATTAGGAACTGTCAGTGGGTCCTCTATGACTCTTTCCTAGTTCTACATATTTTGTGGTAAACACATCAAAAATTCAACTTAGTCGAGTTTGACTAAGGTTTGAGAAATTCAGTCTCTGGGCTTTTCAATGTCAGACCTAGAGATACCAATCAGTGACAAAATAAGTAACAGCAGAGGGACAAACGGTGTATTATGGAAAGTTATTTTGCTGTATTATTTCCTATATGAGACATCAGGTGAGTTTCTTTCCTACACAGAAGCCAGTGCACAAGAACTTGGCTCTGCTTTTAAAATCTCATACACAGGAGACTCTGCTACTGTAGTCTCCTCGGCAGAAACTCAGGACCTCACACTGTTTGTCAGTGACTTCAAAGGAAATGAGTACCAACTGCCAGCCTAATATTCTCCTACCAGAAACTAAATATAGTTTCTTTCATTTGGTAAGATCCTTAAACACAAACTCAACCATACTAATTAAAATTCTAAGCTTTAGATTACTGCTTTCTTGTTAATGTATGGAGCACAAATTTTAAAAATATGTACTTGAAAGACAGGCATTTCAGCACATGACTTTAATCCCAGCTCTAGGAAGGCAGAGAGGCAGGTGGATTTCTATGAGTTCGAAGCCAGCCTGGTCTACAAAGTGAATTCCAGGACAGTTAAGGAACTTACAGAGAAACCCTATCTTGAAAAACAAAGCAAATAAATAAAATGTACCTAAATCCTGGTTTCTATTTCACTTAAAATCATGTTTGTAAAAATCAGTTTCATGTTTGGTCGAGCCACTAATGACATGTCCACCTATTAGTATTTATAAACTTCAAGGTGTTATAGTGCACATCCATACCTGAGCGACATAGTTAATTCCATACAAACCCAAGTGCCATAAAGAGATATCCCAAATCCTCTTACCCTGTCACTAGAG